TATTTTAAACAAATTTATTAATTATTAAAGCTTAAGTATACTCTGGACACTTTTGGATACTTGGACATTTGGACGTTGGACAGTACCAAAAAAACCTTTGGACAGTCAAAATGTACATCTCTGCTAATTGTATAACAAAGGTTATTTCAAATTTTTATATTAAATTAGCTTTGATATAATAAATTTATAAGAAATTTAGATATAATAAAAAAAAATCTCTAGTTTCAGAGCTTTGTTATATTGAAATTATACTATATTTGATTTATTTATTTAAAAAAACAATATTTTTCTTTTAGTTATTATAATAAATAATGATCTTGCTATTAATATTACAATTGTAAACATAATATCTAATACATAATAGTTATGAGGCACAAAGTGCCGAATAACTGAGGTATTTGCAGAATGTAATTTGATTGATCGATTTTAAGCACTGAAGGTGCGCAAAATTCAAACAAGCAGATCATATGCGCAAATACTGGTAAGATACGATTTGTATTTTACAAGCGCCTGAAGACTGGCATGGCGTGATAGCGCTATGCCAGTCTTCAAGATGCAAATTGTACCGAAGTTATGAAGCACAAGTGCCTCATAATTGTTTTATCCAGCATAACACGGTAACTAGTAAAAATTATCACCATTATTAACGAAAAAGTATTTGAAAGTACTGCGATATTATTTATTTATTAGAATTTTATAATAAAAGGTTATTTCATAGTTAAAAATTTAATAGATCACAAATCAAATTATTATCAGTCATAAAGGCTATAAATACAATACAATTCTCTTTCTTTTGCAATTTTTTCTTTTTTATATTCTCTTTTTCTTCGTATATATATATATTTTTTATTTCATATTCTATTTTTTAAATCAATATTTGAATATAGATAAACATTCAAATTTCTTACCTTCTAAAGACCAACTTGCAGCACTTGCTAAAGAACGTGTTCCAACAAATACTATTAAAAACACAGAAGGATGGATTAATATTATGAATCAGTGGCAGTCAGATGTCAATTATAAAGAACCATTAGAAAATCAAGATAAAGAAACCATTGAACTTCAAGTTTCTCAATTTCTATGTGGTGTAACAACTAAAAGTGGTGGACGTTATTCAAGAACATCATTAAAGAATGCTTTATCTGCAATTAATCGACATCTTCAAAATATCAAACCTGGTTGGCGATATAACTTACATAGATTTTCCTAATTTATATGCACAGTTTGATGGTTTACTTAAAGATATGAAAAAAAAGGGGCTTGGTGAATTCAAATCTACGGATAGGTTAACTACTGAAGAGATTCAGCACATATTGATTCATGAAGTTCTGGATCCAAATACTCTATTAGGATTATTAAAACGAGTTTTTTTCTGGATCTCTATACTGGGTGCTGCAAGAGGCAGTGAGCATGTGAATTTGTATATATCACAAATTGTAGATACACCTGATGGTATTATATTTAAAAAAACATAGCAAAAAAATGATCAAGGTGGTATAGAAGAAAATCAGTTCAACTTAGTTATACCTTTTCTATCTGATTCAGAAGACATTTCAGGACCAAATGCTGATTTAAGAAAGTACCTTTCTTTCTGGTCTAAAAATTTTAAGTATACAGATTTTTATCTTGTTGCTTGCCGTAGTCCAAATGGTAATAACAATACTAATTATTTATATTATTAATATAAATTTAATATATTACTAATAATTTATTAAAGCCATTGTAAAAGGCAAATGGTATTTAGATAAACTATTGGGTGATCATACAGTTAGTTCATTATTTAAAGCAATATGTATCGAATGTGAAATTAATATCGAAACAAGAAATATTAGTAATCATTCTGGTTGAAGAACAAGTATTATGGAATTATTTAATATTGGAGTGTCTGAAAATACTGGTTGTGCAATTAGTAGACATAAATTTTCTGGTGGATATTACGCTTATGCCAAACCTACAGATAGTCATAAAAGAGAAGCATTAGCTAATATTCTCAACAAACTAATCAATATCACTGAAACAACACAAAACTCGATTATTAATACAACACTACTTAATAAATTGGTACAAGACTCACTTGAATATAATAACCCTGAACCTGATGATAATGAAGAATTACGAAGCATTAGATCTGATGATGATGAATTAAGTGATGTGGATTTAAATAATTCAGCACAAGTAGTAAATATTTTGGTTATAAACTATTCTAAATTTATAAGTATTTAATTTTTAAATTAACTAACCAAACTTATTTTGCTAAACAATTTTAGGAGCAAAACGAGCATGAATTTTATGGAAAATTTCATACTGCCTGAGAAGTTTTAAACAATTCTCACAAAAGAGTATTAAATACTACTGATAAGAATGAATGATTACATAAATGTAAAAAGAATGTCACAATTGTTAACAATTATTACAACAATTATACATTTAATAATACTAGTAATTAAGTATGTAAGTAGATACAATTGATAGTAAAATTCATTCAAAGAAGCAATTAACTGCTTATTTAAATTTTAAGTCAATATTAAAAAAGAATTTATAACTGACAATTTAAAAAAAATTCGCTCAAAAAAAGTACTTCGTGCAATCAGACAATTTAAAAAAATTCTCATTTAAAAAAAGTACTTTGCATAACCAGACAATTTAAAAAATTTTCGCTCAATAGAAGTTTTCATGCAACAGACAATTTTAAAAAATCTCACTAAAAGAAAGTTCTTCATACAACCAGGCAATTTAAAAAATTCCTGTTCAAAAAAATTTCACAATTTTTAAAAAAAAGTCTTGCCCTAAAAAAGTCCTTTACACAACAGACAATTTTAAAAAATTTCTGTCATAATAAATGTTTTATATAACAATTAAAATCTATCAAATATACAATATATAGTAAATTCAAAACAAAAACTCTTTCCGCTGATCCTCAATTCCAAAATTGGCAAAGCAAATATTCAAGGTTTACTCAAGAAACAGCCTAACTAACAACTTTTAGAAAACTAAGAGAAAAGGTTCAGCAAGTTAAAGAGCTATAATTTACTTAGAACAACAGTTAGCGAAGCACTGAGCTGAGACTAAACAAAAGATTTTTGTGAAAATTTCTCAAAATTTTTTTGAAAAATTGGGAGATTGCTTTTACCCCCAAAAATTCAAACAAGAACAACACGTGACTAAGATTTTTGGCAACAAAACAAACAAATAAACAAACATGTACTTTTTAGGAATACATGACAGTACAACAAATTAGATAAAATAAGCAAAAGGAAAATCTTGCACGTGCAAACTAAACAAAGCAAATACGAATATATAGAAACTTCTAGAAACTGATAAAATCTGATAAAAGATTATCAGGAGTAGATGGTCTTCTCGAATTGGTGTATGTGGCATTTGAAAAAGTACTTAGATATTTAAATAGTAGTGATTTAGTAGAAATTCTTCATACATTTCACCTATATGAACCAGATGAAATAGATGCCCTTGCTAGAGATCTTATAGTACAAGACCCAAACAAAATTACAGCATATGAAATGATTTTATACGGTCAAATCCGAGATGCACTCAGAAAAGCAGAGAATTATTTACAAGAAGGCACAATTC